TATATATATATATATATAAATTAAATATATTTTTCCTCAAATTTTTTTTGCTATTATTACATCACTTAATAATTTCATATAAAAAATATTAATATCATTATCATTGTTGTTACCATTACCATCATTGTAGATGCTACCGTCACCACCACCTCCACTATTACCATTATCGTTGGTGATGACAATAACAATGAAAGTAGCATTAATGACAGTAGTGATGACAATAACAAAGATGATATTATTACCATCATTATTATTATTATTGTCATCATCAATCGTCATTGTTATTGATGATGGTGGTAACGACGACAACATCAACAATAATATTGATGATAATAATTACAACGGTGAATGATAAAGATGTGAATAATTGTGAAACAACAACAACAACAATAATAATAATAATAATAATCTTATAAAAATTATTTATAATTAAATTTTAATATAAACTATTAATTATTTTTATTTATAATTTAAAAAGTGTGATTTACTCCACTCATTTATCTTAATAAGTCGTGCTCTCATCGGTAGATTTCCAACATCGTAGTGGCAGGAAATTCATGGAAAACATAGGAAAAATCCACAAAATTTTAGTAGTAACTTACACACAACTATTATTCAAAGAAAATATATACAACATGTACGTATATACTATATTATTTTGTCGACAACCAAACTTGTGACAGCAAATTATCTAATTAAACCTTTTTTTAAAAAAAAAAAAAAACTAATGAACTTTATTCACAAAATCAACATACACACGTTTTCTCATAGTTAAAGTACATTTTCATGATTGCACGCTAAATCTCTCCTTTCATCCTTTCCATAATCTAATTGCTATTTATAGGTTAAAGCACCGCTTTAAATTGGACCCACGCCACCAACCACTCACGTCATTGGTGTTAGAAAGAACAGAGTGTCTAAAGAAATTGTAAAATTCATATATACACTCAATCAGCTCAATTAAGAATAATATGTTATCTTCAATTAATCCTAATTTTATGTCGGCTATTTTACTTCTAAATCGGAATCAAATGTTCATCTTTAATTAATGAACATATATATGTACTGAAACCACCTATATTAATATTTTTCAAAAATAAAATAAAATTATTTTCAACAGATTCACAATTATTAAATTTAATAGCTTTCTATTAAAAAAAATTCTCACTTAAGTAAATAGTTGATTTCTTATTTGACCAGTTTTATCTGATTATTGGCGTAGAATTGCCCTTATTTAAACTTTTTATGAGGTTTCCCATTTAAATATTGTAGATAGATAAAACAATGGTTGGAAAGAAATTTTTGAATAAAGACTAGAAATTAGCAAAATCTGTATTTACCCTGCACCTAATAACATAATTAATAGCATTTGAAACCTCTGTCAAATATTAATTACTTTGGTGATTTCATAATTTCAATATTAATTATGTTTTCCTCTACCACCACCGTAATAAAATTTATTATTATCCATAATTATTTAATAATAATAAATTAATTATTTCTATTTTATTATTTAATAAAATATTAATAACTAATATATAATAATTACTAAAAATATATTTATATTATACTAAAATTTTATTATTAACAATAATTATTTATTAAGAAAAACTTAAGTCTCACATCGATTAGAAATAAGATAGTTATAAATAGATGATAACTCTCACCTTACAAGTTTGTTTTATAAGATTAAGTTAGAACTATAACTTACTATTCTAAGTTGGTATCAGATTATTCATCATAAATAATTAATTAGGATATAAGATAATGAAATAAAATAATTAAAGAATATTATAAATTATTTCTTAAATTTTTAATGACAATAACAAAAAAATATTAAATACTAATAAAAAATACCAAAAAAGTTATATATATTAGTAAAAAATGCCATAAAAAATTATATATTTTTCCTAACTATTATAAAAGTCTTTACCGACATGCAGAATAATTGTCACTAAATATTTTAACGATACTATATATAATAAAAAAAAATTATAATAATTTTTATTATCACTAAAAATTATATGTAATTCGTACTTAAATAGGTAGAGTAAGAATATAAACAAATTCAAAACTTCTTTTTCCATCACCATCTTTGGGCAAAAGCCAGCACATACTGAAGAGTTATTTGATCATTATATTTTTGGGGTTATAGATATAATTTTTATCAAGAAATTCTATATATCTTTATTTTTCAGTTATCATGTATACAACTTCACGATAATAACATATTATTTATTTTGTATTTATACTTTTGTAAGTCTGACCGTTTTCTTTTTCTTTTTTCCTTTTCCCTTTCTTTTGTTATTAATTAAGAGCCTAACTCTATTAATGAAAATTATGCGAGGAATAATGAAGTATTTTTCCTTTTATAGATTATCTCTATCTTAATTTTAAATAGTTACTTTAGGATCATACTTATGATCAAATTTTAAAAATATTCATTGAGATTTAATGACTTAAATATTAACTACTTTTCTCTCTTAAATATGAAACTACATAAACAAATTTGAAACCTCTTTCTTCCATCACCATCTTTTGGCAGCAGGTAACGAAGGGTTATTTGGTCATTGACTTTTTGAGTTATAAATATACTTTTATCCAGAGAAATTTTATATATTATTATTTATCAATTATTTATGCACACAACTTTATAATAATAAAAGATTATCCACTTTATACTTATACCATAATGACGTTGCTTTTGCAAGAGATTCTCTGGACGTTTTTTCTTCTCTATCTTTAGTAAATATTTTAGATATATAGTCATTATAGGATCATACTTATGATCAACAGTTAGAAAGAGTCATTGTGATTTCGTGATTTAAATATTAATTACTTTTCCCTCTTTAATAGAAAACTACATAAACAAATTTGAATATTCTCTCAAATATTAATTACTTTCATGATTTTGTGATTTCAATGTTAATTACTTTTTCCACCCTCACGTTCATATAATTCGTGCTTAACTACGTACATAAACAAATTTGAAACCTTTTTTTTTCATCACCATCTTTGGGCAGTAGGTACTGAAGGGTTGTTTGCTCATTGTATTTTTGGGTTATAGATATATTTTTTATCTAAATTAAGGAGTTTTACAAATTGTTATTTGTCAGTTATTTGTGCACATAATTCTACTATGGTAAAATATTACCCATTTTAAACTTATACCGATTTTCTTTTGTAAGATTTTTTTAGCTATTTTATTCTTTATTTTTCCTTTCTTTTGTATTTAATTAAGAGCCCAGCTCTATTAATAAAAATTGTGCAATGCATGAAGTATTTTTTTAAAAATATTTTTCTTTATCTTTAATAAATTTTAGATAGTTATTACACTACTAGAATTTCTCCTATAATATACAATTTTTTATGCAAATTTTTCATAAAAATTCGCAAGAAACATTGTTCTTACAAATTTTTCTGCCAAAATTTTATTTCTAGGTAATACCTTTGTGGATAATATGTTTCTGAGAGTTGTAAAATTTGCAAAAAAAAAATTTAGAAAAAAAATTCGCAAGAAAGTTTTCTGCGATCGCAGCATAAAGTTTTCTGTGAAATTTCCTGTGAATTTTTTTTACAAGAAAAAAAATTAAAGAAATTACTATTCAAAGGTAATTTTTGTACAATTTTTATTAATAATTCTTCAACTTTCAAATGCTTACAATGAATTCATCGTGAAAGATGTAAATTATAGGTCTAAAACTCAATAATACAAAATCAACTTATAAGGTGAGTGTTGCTCCAACTTATATACTCTTTAGTTGTTTTATTTCTAATTGATGTGGGACTTGAGGTAAAAATATTTTAATTCTTAAACTTATAAATTTATATATATATATATACCTATATATATATATATATATATATATATTTATTTTTCCTATGAATTAAAATTGGCAGGAAAATCTATAAGAAAAGTTACCTATGAAATTTTTCTACCATTTAGTAAACATTACTTACGAATTTATTTTTACAAGAAAATTCGTAAGAAATAAGATAAAATTCTTACAAAATTTTCTGCAAATTTTTACCATGAAAAAAAATTTCTATGATTATTAAAATGATAGCAAAATTTGCAAAAAGAAATTTGTGGATTATTTTTCATAAAAAAATTTCTAAGAAATTTTTATAAATTATTTTTCACAAATAAATTTGTAAAAAAAAATTTGTAAAATTATTATTGCAAGAGAATTTGCAAAAAAAATCTGTAAATATTTTTTTTTAGAAAAGTTCGTAAAAAAATAATATTTTTCTAATAGGGTTAACATCAGCATTGTGATTTCGTGACTTAAATATTAATTACTTAATTTTCTCTCTTAATAGGAAGTTATAAAAAAACAAATTTAAAACCTCTCTCAAATATTAATTACTTTCATGATTTTTTATTTAAATATTAATTACTTTTTCGTCACTTACGTTCATAATTAGTGCATAAATAGGGTGTTAGGTAAACAAATTCGAAAGCTGTTTCTTTTATCACCATCTTTTGAGAGCAGGTAACAAATTAAGGTTATTTGATCATTGTTTTATTAGGTTATAGGTATATTTTTTTAAAGAGAAGTTTTATATATTGTTATTTATCAGTTATTATACACATAATTTTATATAATTTGTTTTGAATTTATATCTTTATGATTTTTTTTGTGTGGATATTATTAAAAAAACTTCTCTTCATTAAAATATGCGTGTGTTTTATAAATTTTTATTTTTTCTTTTATTTTAATAGGTATAACTTTTTGTTTGTATCTTAATAGGTGAACCATTGCATCATATAAAACTCCAAATAATCCAAACACCACCACCACGCTCCCTATATATTACCATATTTATTGTGAGCACCACAGCAAACGTTGTACTGCCACCTTTCATCATATCATTGTTTCACAACCATGAGGTGGTGTTGCTGCACATCTTTTGTACTCTTTCTTACCCTTCTCATTCAGATACATGGAAGTGATCATTATGACCACAAGCAAGCAAAAGGCTCCGTAGAGAGAGGTTGTGACTTGTTTCAAGGAAGCTGGGTTTATAAGGAATCATACCCTCCTTATTATGAATCCTCACAATGTCCCTTTATAGAGAAGCAATTCGATTGTGAAAAGAATGGTAGACCAGATAAGTTCTATCTCAATTATAGATGGCAACCTACAGGGTGCAACTTACCAAGGTACAAACATCTTTGATTTGTTTCTCTCCCTCTCTCTCTCTTGTTGTGTCAGTTTGTTTTTGTTTTTATTTTTGTATCAGTGCCATGCCATTATTAGATTATTTCTCACTGAATCAAATGGACATATATATTCACCATGCATGGTTTTGTTATTATAATTTTTATGGTTTTTCATCTTTCAAGAATTAAGTCTTTTCGGACAAGTTTTTTTATATATATTTTTAATTTCTATAATTTTATAAACTTTATTGTTTAGTCCATCAAGAATTATAAAACAAAAATTATATATAAAAAGTAAAAAAAAATATTCTTAATTATATAAACTAAAATGTAAAATTTATAAAGCTAGCAACCAGTTATAGATATTTAAACACGTAAAATTTTATACTTTGTATCTCTGCTCTTTTCTTATGCATGTGTTAAAAGTATTGAATTCTCTCCTGTGTTAAAATTATTGTATGAATACAAACTATTATGTGTTAGTTACTTTTTGAATATGCTGGTTAATTGTTTGACTTTTAAATGGAAGAAGACAATGCCCAACTAAGCTAAAACAGACAAAGACAAATCTACTTATGGAGGTAATAAAATCCTTGGAACTAGTAAATTGTTTTTTTTTTCTCGATGATGATGGGGTTAGTCTACTAGCCTGGCATGAATTAAGTGCGAGATGAATTTTCTAATATAAATTATAAAATATAATTATGAATAATTAAGAAAAAAACTTCTTATATAGAACTTTAATTTATATTTTTTTAGCAATAATACAAACACAAAAACCAAGGGAAATTAGAACATTATGAAGAAAACTTTATTTATGGTCTAGTCATGTAGTTAAACTAGTAGTTTAAGAAACCCAAAAAAATCCTTTTGCTAGGAATTATGTGACTGAAGACTACCAATCAACAACTAATTAATTACAAGTGTACCTTATAAGGGTTAAAAGATATTTGTCAAATAATGATTTTTTATTTTGAGATAAACATGTTATTCCTTGAAAATATATAGATCATTGATTTTATTTTATAATAAATTTTTCTTTCTCAACCATATTTTTAATCCACAAAATTCAATTACACAATAATTTACTTAAGAGTATTGAGTTTAGTTATACTTAAATGTTATTCATGTCGATTGTGAAATAATTACAATTTAATGAAATGTGTAAGATGGAGATTTCATAACCCCTCAAGGCCTAGTTGTTATCTCTATAAACCGTAAAGCACAACTTAAAAAGGAAAATATTTTAACCATGAATGGACATTCCACTTGTTTATTAAGACAAATGAAGAGTTCATTAGCAATCAGATTTACGAAATTAAACATGGTTCGAAATTGCGGTGTAGCAACCACAATTATAACATTGATATAGAGGTTTTGGAGATTTTGCACTTACAACTCAATCACTTTCATTTGTAATTAAATTTTTTTAAAAATTTCTATAACTGTAATTGTGGACCACAAGCGCAATTGTAATTTAAATTATTGAAAAAAACGGATAATTAATAGTGTATATCTTCTTTTATTTCCTAATACTGTTTGTTCCTTTTATGTTAGAAATCTAGATCAAATTTGGTATATTTTTCATTCCTTTGCTAACTTTTGACAAACAACCTTTTATTGATTTAAAATTTTGCTCATCCCAAAATGAAAAGGTTAGAAAAGAAAGACAAGGAAAAATAAAAAGGAAACGAACAAATAAACATTGTTCCTTTGGAAAAGGATATGAACATGTTACATGTACCAAGTTAGAGACCACATTTTCAAGATAGATTAGATCCAACTTAATTTTTCTTTTTTCAAGTAGATTATGAAATTAGAGACTAATTTCACTTATGATATTGTAAGAACTGTTGGCTTAAAAAAATTATGCACTATAGAAGTCAAACATAAGATTTCCTGTTAAATAAGTATTATCCAAATTCATTAGGTTAGATGTAACTTATTATATTATCTAGTTTATAGCCTTCCCTAGTTAACTATAACCAACTACATTTCGATTTCTCCATGTCCATTGTTCATCTTATCAATTAAAGAATAACAAAGATTACTTTAGTGATTTGTGGTCCTATAACTGATTGAAGACATCTTGTTGCTTTTGTCTGCACATTTTACATGTATGCTAAGGTTTGTTAGGTTTATATTTTTTAACAACCACATGTAGTTGAGTTCTTAAGTCGGCAGAGGCTTCCTCCATTAAGAGTTTTTGCTGTTGTGAAGTTGCTTTCAGCCAATTTGTCCTCAAATGGGATCACATATTAGATCCAAACAAAAAACCATTTTAATGATTATTAAACCATGCAAGATGTTGGACCCACTTAATGATCATTTGTGTTTTGCAGATTCAATGCTGAAGATTTCTTAAGAATACATAGAGGGAAAAGTATCATGTTTGTGGGGGACTCATTGAGTTTGAATCAATGGCAATCACTCACTTGCTTGCTTCACACAGCCTTGCCACATGCCCCATACACCAATGTGAGAAATGGAGCTCTCTCCATTTTCACCTTCCCGGTTAGATCTCTTTTGTGACTTCTATTTTTCTTAATTTTCTTCATATTCTTAGTCATTGTCACAATCCAAACCTATCACATCTACAAAAGTTCACATTCATAAACATTCTCTCCTATAAATATTAATGTAAAAATTTACTCTAACCAATTATTACCCCTCTCCACTACATTTCTTCTATTCACAACACTCAATCTCAAGATGTTATGTATTGAATCCAAACCCATTTCTACCCATTCCTAACATGATGTTGGTTAGTGCTTCCAAATTTAATTTAGCTTCAAATAATTAGTTGCATTATAAAAATCTAATTGGGTCGCTAACATGCATGCATGGATATCCTTGAAGTTAAATATATAGATCATCGCCGACAAGCAATGATAATTTAAATGCAATCATGCAGTGTGTATTAATAATACATTCTAACAACTGGTCTATTAATTAACTATTTGCCTCACATGATATTAGATTCCCACTCATGCAACAAAGTTAACCAAACAATTTATAGAAGGAACGTGGTAATGTCGTATTAATAAATTCGATTGATGTAATGCTCTGGTGTCCTGTATACATCATCGAAAAGTAATCGGATGTTAGTTAATTATCAAGACAGATAACAGAAGAAGCAACATAATTGTTGAAAACACACCGACAAAGGTAGAGGAAGAAACGAATTATGTCAAGTTATCCACATATACTACACCAAAATTAATTTTTTGTAGCAATTAATTTATTTTTTAGCGGTCATATAAATGATCATTATTTTTTGTACCAGCATTTAAATAATAGTTGGTGTATACAGTGTCGCTAATACTATTACCGACATTTATATAAAATACTAGTAAAGACCTATTAAATTGTCGGGAAAACTATTTTTTTTAGTGACAATTCTAGTAGTCATTTGAAAGGCTATTAAAAGTTATTTTTCAATTATTTCCTTTCTATCCATTTAGTAACTTTTATCTTTTGCTAGTAAAAATTTAAATAATTTATTCCTATAATTTCCTTTTCTAAATTCATAACTTATATACTTTTTTATCTCTAGTCGAAGTGGGATTGAGGGTTGTCTTCTATTTATATATTTTTAATTTATTGTTTTAATTGTCTTGTCTCTTAAGAGATGTGAGATTTATTAGGTAAAAATTGCTATCTAATTATTTTATAACATTATTGAACTTAGTAATAGTAGGTGATTTGATACTAATTTAGAATAGTGAATTAGGAGTCTAACTCAACCCTATAAAATCAACTTATAAGGTGATAGTTATTACTCACTTATATACTATTTAATTATTTTATCTCTAATCGATGTATGACTTAAATTTTTTTTAATAAATAAATGTCGTTAATAATAAACTTTATAGTAATATAAATACATTTTTAGTGGCTATTATATATGAGCCATTAATATTTTTATTAAATAATTACATAGCGGCAATTACATTATTGTCATTAAATAATTGTCATTAATAATAAATTTTGTTGTAGTGATAATAACTATTAATTAGCATAATTGTATAACTAACTAACAAAGTTATTAATAGATCGAGTGTGAAATACTAACTATACGAATTGATGTTGTTTAAGAAATCAGGAAGATATCTTATTATATGTAAATGAATAATAGTTCAAGCTTTATGCAAAGTTCTTTAGTTTGAAATGAGTGCACCCCCATCTTAACTCTTAATATTATACTGATATGTGAAAACAACTTCACTTTGAAAAACCTGGTGCTTAATTAATAAGACAATTATTATAATTTCTAACCATAAATAATGTCAAATTTAATTATTCATGTTGGATAACTAAGAATCATTAATATTAATTTGTATTATCATGCACTGACCCAGTTGGAAAAGAGACGTGACAAGCATGTACTACATACATTTCCTAATATTGAGTAATTATTTTTTTGAACTTCAGCACAGAAAATTTGGAAAATTGTTTTGAAGGTTAGTCACACTTAAAAAAAATTAATAATCATCGATGGCTAATAAACAAATCGTCTTATTTCAACATATTTTTAAAAGGATGTATTTTCACATAACACATGTTTGGTATGGCAGTACGCATTAACTCATAGTATCATACAAAACAAACATTTCTACAACTCCACATATAGTTTGATCAATACTTGGCACAAAATTAAGAGTAAATTATATATTTAGATATCTCGTAAACACATTCTACTTTTCTTATTCTTACATTAAAATCCTTTAATTATTTAAAAATTACTACACTGATACTTTTTAGCATTACATTAACTTGAAAAGAAAGTTACTAAACATTAAAAAAGTATAATATACATGTAATCTCAAAAACCTCATAGGGTGCTTGTGTAGTGTAATTTACTCTAAAAGTAATCTTGAATTGAGACTAACAATGAATTAATGTTTAAGCTAGGACTAGCAACTTGTTTGAGTAACAATCTTCAGCTTCAATTCTTGGGTCAAATACCACATAACTTAATTGGGTGTATCACTGAATTTGCAGAGCTATGATGTTAAGTTGATGTTCTCACGCAATGCATTTTTGTTGGACATTGTTGCTGAAAAAATTGGTCGAGTTCTCCATCTAGATTCAATTTCAGCTGGCGAAACGTGGAAAGGAATAGATGTATTGATATTTGACTCTTGGCATTGGTGGCTTCACACAGGAAGAAAACAACCGTATGTAAAAAAAAACCCTATAGCTAGTTTCACTCTTTCATCATATTTCACGTGAAAATTTATAACAATCTTGTATCTGTTTTTCTTATAATTTTGGCTTGTAGATGGGATTTCATTCGAGAAGGGAATCATATAGTAAGAGACATGGATCGCTTGGTAGTATATGGGAAAGCATTGAACACATGGGCCAAATGGATTGATAACAATATTGACCTTAAACAAACAAAGGTGTTCTTTCAAGGAGTCTCTCCAGATCATCAAGAGTGAGTATTTGCTGCCATTAAAGGGATTGTAGTAAATATCTTTAAGTAACATTTTCGTTTTAACTCTATTATTGATTGAAACTTATTTAAAATCACAAAATTTTATGAATTTCACTTCCAAATGAGTAGAGATACTCTATAAGTAGAACTCTTTAAAATTTGTGATTTATAATAATTTTTAATAGTTAACATGTGAATGATGTTAATCAACATTCCTCATAGTAATATATTATTATTATTATTATTATTATTATTGATAAGATTTCAACAAAAAAAATAATTAATTTGTTAATTATTTATGTAAATAATTGTTACAAAGAAACATAAGTAATCAAATAAAAAATTAAATCAAATGATTTAATTAATTAGTTTTTTTTTGGTTTAGGAGTTAATATAAAAAAATTAATTGGAAAACTATTTTGATAAAATTAATGTTATTTTACCTTTTTAATTAAAAAAATATTTACTAATTATTTTCATAAGTAGAGCCATAAGTTAAATAACCAATTAAATCAAATTAAATAATTTAGTTGATTGATTAAATTTAATTAGTAGAATGTTACAAAATATGTTAAAGTTATATATATATATATATATGGATATTATAAAGAGGATGATTATCCTTCTATTAACGATTTAGATTTGGTATAATTCTTTTAAAGTTATATTGGTGATGACCGTATCACATTCTTGAAGGCCATTTCATTTTCATGGCATTTTTAAAGAGTTAATCATTCACACTATCAATGTAAGGTTTTTTACATTGACAATCAATCATATCTTTTAAATTATTTTATTTTATTTTTATTTCGTTAAATAAGTAATTGACATGACACTATTAAAAAATATGATTGGTTACCAGTGTAAAAAAACTTTACACCGATAGTGTATAGATGATTAACTCTTTTTTTAAATTAGTCAATTATAACTATTGAAAGCCCACTTTTATACTCACATCGGGCTTTCATACTCACATTTCACTACCAATTGAATTAAACTTTCTCTTATAGTTTTTTTCTTCTAATAGATAATAACTTAAGCTTAGAAGAACAGGTTATTACTAATTTGTTTGAGGCTTTGGTTCCTTGCATAATAGTAATAACGTCTAAAATTGATTTTGATTTGTCTAGCAAGTGCACACCCTCAGCCCATTTTTACCACATAAAAAAATATATTTACAAAGGAAGATGGCCATTTTAAAAATATATATAAATAAAATAAAAGCACTATCATAAAATTTTGTAAACTAGGAGCTAATTAATTTGTGTCATGAATTGTTCCAGTTCAGAGCAATGGGGTGAGCCAGGAGCAAAAACTTGTGTAGGGCAAACTAGGCCAGTGTTGGGATCCAAGTATCCTGGAGGTCCAAGCCAAGCAGAGTTGGTGTTGGAAAAAGTGTTAGGAGCCATGCAAAAGCCTGTGCAATTGTTGAACATTACTACCCTATCACAGCTAAGGAAAGATGCCCACCCATCTGTTTATGGATTTGGAGGGCATAGGAGCTTGGATTGCACCCACTGGTGCCTAGCTGGGGTTCCTGATACTTGGAATGAGATTTTGTATGCTAGTCTCACTCAAAATTAAGTTCCTATATACATTGTTGTTGCTTATTACAAAATAAAATTTGTCCCTAAAATAGATACATTTCTAATTTATTATGTTAATTAATATAAATCAAGATTTGTATAACTCCATCAAATGATAATGTGTCTCATCTCTTTGTGAATTTGGGATTTTATGTGATGGTTGTTTAAAAGCTTAATTAGGGATTCAAGACTAGCCTAGATGTGAGAAAGTAAATCATTATTACTAAGTGTATGTTTGGATGGGCGTTACATATCTTTTAAATTTATGTTCAATCTAAAATTTTACTTTCTTATTTCTTGTTTTTTGCTTTAGAGAGTGAGAATTTACGTTTGTGTCATGACAAACGTTTTCCCAAACATGCTATAAGTGTTATAAATTGAATGGTTCATGTTTGGTTTTGGTCTTGAGTTTTTTTTTCTTTCTTTTGTCTTGAGTAAAGTGAAAAAGTAATTTTCTCATAAATATTTGAGTATTATTTATGATCTCAATTTCCAATTTTTAAAGTAGAAACATAGAAATACTTGATCACATGGTTGCATAAAAAATAATTAAACATATTACTACAAGAAAGTTGTCATATAATAATACACATCTTATAATGACATAATACTTGTTACTAAAAATTACTTTTACTTACACTATAGATATAATATATGTTGGTATATTACTAAAAAATGTAGGTATAGATTTATAGTTACACAATATATGTTATTAAATTTTATTCAAAATCAACACTAAAATTGTGTACAGTTATATATCAAATAGATATATACATATATATATTATATCAAATTTTTTGTATGTCACTGTATATAATATTTATTATAGTGTACGATACATTGTACGTGTAATGTAGTAGTATTTTAGAAGGTCATGGGAGATTTAGTAGTCTAGAACGGGTCGTTCCCAAACTGGAACGGGCCGTTCCAAACTACTAAATAGGCCTATGAATCTTGGACTGGAACGGACTGTTCCAAAATGGTTATTGTGAGTTAAATTCAACTCCAGAACGGATCGTTTTGGTTTGAGAACAGACCATTCTAGACGTGCCAGAACCGACCGTTCTGCATGTGAATTTTACACATGATAAAGGAGTCCAGAACGGGCCATTCCAGATTCGAAATGGGCCGTTCTGGCCGTTTCAGATTTCTATAAATAGGACTTGTGTGCAGTTAAGGAGAAAAGGAGGTTTTAGAGAGAAGTTCTAGAGAGAATGACTCTGGACTAGAAAGCTTACTTTTGGAGGATTGAAGTTCAAGAGTCAAGCTTTGGAGGATATTTCTTCTTCTTCTTCGTCTTCTCAGTTATTGACTTTTCAAAGCCAATCTTCAGGTAAGGGAAGCTAGATTGTAGATTTGTTGGTGATGCTTTTGTGATGAAGATGAGATGTAAATGAGATGCATGTTGTAGTTAAGTTGTGAAGTTGTTTACATGTTGTTTATTGTTGAATTATTAATAAGTCGAGATGTATAAGTTGAGGTAGTTTATAAGTTGTAAAGTTGTATTGGGATGGATGTAGAAAAGTTACTATGTTGTTTAAAGTTGTTAAAATTGAGATTGATGACTATAGTTGTTTATTGTTGTAAAGTTGCATAAGTTGCTTATTGTTGTAAAGTTGTTAAGATCCTATTGTTGTGAAATTGTTAAGATGCCTATTGCTGTAAAGTTGTTAAAATGCCTATTGCTGTAAAGTTGTTAAGATGCCTATTGCTGTGAAGTTGTTAAGATGCCTATTGCTGTAAAGTTGTTATGATGCTATAGTTGTAAAGTTGTCTATTATCGTAAAGTTGTAAAGCTACCTATTGTTGTAAAGTTGAAAAGTTGGGGACATATGGTGAAGATATATGTCCTATGTTGAGATACATAGTACTAAGGTGATAAGTTGAAAGTTGTTTTAAAGTTGAATCCCTTAGTACTGTGTGGACGACATGGAAGTAGTCGATCCATGTCATGGTTGAATGACCAATTATGAGCTGAGCTGTGCTGTTAAGTTGTAAGCTGATTAAGTTGTGATGATGAGTTATTGATCACTAGGACTAGGAGAGATGTTTTCGAAGTAGCTCATCTCATTGTGTGGATTGAGATAGTTATGGTGCTCTGAGAGCCCAATTTGTTGAAAAACCCTCCTTGGGAAGTTGTCCCTTGGAGTGGACTTTGTGTTGTTCTCTTCTAAGACTTAGTTGATCCCGTGTGTGGGCAAGGTCAAGGCACACGTGTATAAAGCGACCACGGTATAGGGGCAAGGTCGTGCTATATCGATTACAAAGCGACCACGGTATAGGGGCAAGGTCAAGCTATACCGATTATAAAGTGACCACGGTATAGGGACAAGGTCGAGCTATACCAATTATAAAGCGACCACGGTATAGGGGAAAGGTCGAGCTATACCGATTACAAAGCGACTACAGTATAGGGGCAAGGTCGAGCTATACCGATTATAAAGCGACCATGGTATAGGGGCAAAGCCGAGCTATACCGATTATAAGCGGCCAATTTGAGTAAAGTACGAAGTCGGGAACTTAGTTCCTAACCGAGTACTATACTTTCTTGTTTAAGTGGCAAAGTCCGAGAAACCATTATCGTGTTGTGGATTGATATCCAAATTTACCGTGTTGTCGGTTCGGTAGGACCTAGCCACTTAGACTACTTATCACGTTGTAGGAGATCTCCGAGTTGAAATGCGTGACGACGCATAAGTTGTTAATGAGTTGATTTGTTATTGATATGTGTTGTACATATGTTGTTGTGTTGTTAAGCTGTGATTGTGTTGTATGTTGACATTGTTGAGGATGATGATAAGCTCTGTTATGTTGTAAGTTGTTTTTACACATGTGTTGTTGAGAGGTGTGTAATATATGTGTTGTTTGTCTTATGTGTTGGATGCGAAGATGATTATATTGTTGTTGTGTTGCATATTTGATTATTATGAGTTGTTTATTGTCTCTAGCTTACCCTTGCATGTTTTCATGTGATTTGGACTGCGATGATCATACATTGTATGAGAGCAGGGCAGAGATAGGCCGGGAGATAGCTGCTAGAGGCCACAGGAGGTGCCTGGAGATGAATATTTTTTTTGTAGGCTACCGTATAGTAGCATATCTTGTTGTATATACTGGTTGTTGTTGGTTGCTTGATTAGCAACAAGTGTTGTATATATTTTATTATACTATTTTGGTATATATATATATATATATATATATATATTCCAGTAGTGTGTAGTGTTGTTTCATAGTGTGACGATCACGGCGGGTCATTACAATACGAGACTACGTGTTATCATTAGAGCCATTATGCAACGAAAAAATAGTTTAATAATGATAACATATTACAAAGAAACTTATAATAGAAAGATGAAGATTCATAATTTAATTTTAAGATTTCATCATAGTAGGTCGTGATTTAAAAATTAGAAAGAAAACAAATAAATTAAAAAAAAATAAAAAATGAAAAAAAAAATATTAAAGGTGATTATTATTTATACTTATGAAAGTTCACATTAAGAAAGAAAAAAAAATAGTCAATATATCGCATTTTCCTCTTTACATCTAACATTATGAATTTATTTTCCTAAATTATTGCTTGATTTTTGTTGATTAATAAAAAATTGATTATTGATTAGTTGTTTGTAATTATTTTATTTTTTAATATATTTTTAATAATTTAATTATATAATTTTGTTTTTAAATTATATAAATTAAATAATATTTTTTTAGATATTCCTTCTAATAGAGTCTTGGACAGTCAGTCACCTCATCAGCCTGTGCTCAAAGGTAAAACTGTCCTTCTTTAAAATTTAACTAAAAATATCAAGTATAAATTCTAATATGCAGTTATAATAAATATTTGGAGAAAAAATTTATTATTTGTGATTAATGATTCCAGAAACTCCAGTATGATTGCGCCAATATAGTTGTAATTTATAAGTCTAAATTTATTTTATTATTTATCATAGATTTTTTAATAGATTTGACTTTTTTTGAAAGTTTAACCTGCTCTATTAGTTTATTTAAAAGTTTAATTTAATTAGGCTGATAAACTTTATTTTTAAAAATCAATAATATTATTTTTAAAATATATTTATTCAATATTGGTAAAATTTAAATTTTAAAAAATATAGGAGAAAAATTAAATTATTTTCTATTGAAGGAACAATTTATGTATAATCATGTATATTGATATACATGCATACATAGATTATAAGTTCATAAACCTATAATAAAAAAAATAATTGTATAAAAAATATTTTAAATATTGATAATTTATTTTTATTTTATAAATTTATTTTTTTATTTATATTTTTAATAATATATATTATTTTTTTTATCATATTATGACTGTATTAGATCTAATAGACTTTTCTATAAAGTTCAAGTTTAACATTTTTTATATAAATAGACATTTTTAAAAGCTTAAACCTAATTTTTTTTTTGTTAAATAGGCTAAGTCAAACTAAACTTTAAAAAGATTAGACCATAAATTTCTATTTAAAGTCTGACCAATTTTTATCTCTATCCATGTTGCTTCAAATTTAACTAAAAATATCATGTATAAATTCTAATATGTAGTTATAATAAATCTTTTTGAGGAAAACTTTTTATTATTTGTCATCAATGATTCTAACAACTCCAGCACGATTGCATTTTATAAAAAAAAAATAAGAGTAAATCACTTTGTAGGCTAAGCAATGTATATTTAATTTCAAAACTTGTAATTTACATAAATATTTCAAAAATATCATAATATAGCTCTACCAGAATTAAGAGAATCTAATTCAATTAATTGAAGAAAATACATTAATTACGTAAATACATTTTAAATTCATTTCAATTTTTATTGATAAAAAATAATAGTCATCACAAGATCCTAAAAGAAACAATTCCATGCCAAAATTTGAATTTCATAAATAATCAAATTCAATATAAATTTTTTTAATATTGATTTAGAATAATAATGTGCCCTTATATGAACTTCTTTGCAGAATTCATATAATAACCTTTTGAACCTTAGTCTAGAAGACTCCCAAATAATTAATGCTATTTTATAATTAATATATATATATATA